CTTTCCCTAATCTTAAGGATAGCCTGATGGAGTAAATGCCCTTTATCCCCATTTCGCAGAAAAAGGAATTAAGGCTTAGCTGATCTCTTTCTTGGTTGGTGGGGAGGAGAAAAACTCAAGTTTTGAGGAAATGGATTCGGTTGTGGCTAGTGGAGTGTTGGAGTTCTCAGCACTGTTACACTGTCATCTTTGAACTGCCTCTGTGACCTGTGTTGGTAATGACAGACTCTCACATCCATGACCTTTTTACTCTTATTCATTATGAAGATTTGCTGAGAAGCACAACTTTGCAAAACCAAACGACAGCCGAGCTCTCCACCTGATGACTAAATGCGCCCAGACGGTGATGGAAGAACTGGAGGACATCGTGATTGCATATGGACAGAGTGATGAGTACAGCTTTGTGTTTAAGCGGAAAAGCAATTGGTTTAAAAGAAGAGCCAGGTACTTCCATGGCCTGTTTACTTCCTTCATATTATTTCCTACTAGCATTTGATTTCTGTTTGTTTACCTAATCGGTAAGTCTACAGATAACAGGTGATGTTATTGCGGGATGGCTTCTGTGATGATATCCAGGTTCTTGGTGTTTCGGACAAAAAGGAGAAGTGGTGGAGAACGGATTACACTCATGGTCATTCTCCACGGGAGGTGCTTGCCTCTCTTCCTTTCTCTGTAGGTCTCTGATAAGTGCATACACCCTTTAGCCAGAAGAAAAAAAAAGTAGTATTAGTGGTTTGTAGGTTTAGCCATATGCCTTGCAGTATTATTTAAACTTTTAAGTAAGGTGGAAAACTTTTCATTAAAGAAGATCTCAGTTGAAAATAGACAAGTCCGATATTTGATTTGGCAATGTTTTGAAATTATACAGGGTACAAATCATATGATGAATTGATATGTTTTTAAAATAATGGCTCCTTGGGGGGACGAGCTCTATGACACAGCAGTAATGTGCTATTCAAGAGAAGCCAGATCCCACATGGGGGCCATGGTTTGAATCCCCAGCCTGATCAGCCTAAAACACTAGGCATGTGTGCCAGTGACCAAATTCTAGCAGACTGGAGGAAAGGGGTTGCAACATGACTATACCCTGTGGAGGATGCACCCCCAAGTTTATGCTCTGACCAACTATCATTAATTTTAAAAATGCTACAAAAGAAAAACAATTAAAGGCTCCTCTTCAAGACTATAAGCAAAAACCAATAAATCCTCATATTATATCCCACAGAGAAAAACGTGATATTCATAAATTACTGGACGGAAAGGCAGGCGCATTTAAAATATATAACCAAAATAATAAAATATATATTTTTTTGGCCAAATGCATTTTACCAATTTGCTAGGCAGTTTGTATAATCAATCTTCCTGTTGCACCCACAGGCCCTGTCTTTGCTGTTGAATTAATGTCATTTATTTTCTCATTTTTGTTCCACCCAATGTGCCTTACATTTGCAAGTAAGTTCATGACCCACGTGGCCTCCCAGTTCGCTTCCAGCTATGTGTTTTATTGGCGAGATTACTTTGAGGACCAGCCCCTTCTGTATCCCCCAGGCTTTGATGGACGAGTTGTGGTGTATCCTAGCAACCAGACCTTAAAGGACTACCTCAGCTGGCGACAAGCAGATTGTAAGTGGCACCAAATGAGCAGATGTAGTTAAACCACCAATTTCATGAAATAAAGGTGTAAATCGGATATAGACTTTAACACATGTATTTTATTTGGAAAGCAATTTAAAAAAATTTTTAATTAGTTAAAAATGAAAAATTGGGAGATTTCATGTTAAAATCTTGTGGGTTTTTTGTTTTTAAATCAGATGTAGTAATACTGGGTCTGCATTCCCCACTTAGTATTGGGCAGAGCCTATGCGGTAGCAGTTGCTGTTACTTGGGTACACACACAAACACAAGCCAGTGTACCACAGAACTTTCCACTATCGGTTCTTCCTCTAAAGTCAGTCACTTGTTTATACACAAGTTTGTTTTTTGCCTTACCGTTCCCCCATGCTCCCTGTATAGGACTTTGGGAAAGTTACTAATGTCCCTGAGGTCTTTTTACTTTAAATAGGAGAGGGCTAGGGCTCTAGTATTCGTTGAAGTGTGAATATTGAATAAAGATCCTGTATGTATAAACATTACTATTTGTTCTCCTCATAGGTCACATCAATAATCTTTATAATACAGTTTTCTGGGCACTTATACAACAATCTGGACTAACACCAGTGCAAGCTCAAGAGAGATTACAGGTATAAAGGCCTTATGACATTAATAGTTAGATGGGAGGAGACTGACAGATGGTGTGATGGTTAAAGACACTGGACTCCCACATGGCTGACCACAGTTCAAATCTTGGACCTGGCAGCTTGCTTTCTCACTTTCTCTCCCTCTGTCTCTTTCTTTTTTTTTTTTTTTGGAGAGGTTTTTACTATAGGGCACGTGCGCTCGCCAGACAGAGACAGACAGACAGAGAGACAGAAAGCGAGACATCACCCCCCAGGGGGGATGGCCACGCTGCAATCCCTTCTCCTCCATTCTCCTCTCGGGATCTTGGGCACGTACCCACACGCACCCGGTGTGAGTTTAAGCTGCCAGGTCCGAGACTCGAACCATGGTCGACTACATGGGAGTCCAGCGACATAGCCATTATGCTAACTGCTGGTCCCTCTGTCTCTCTCTTTCTGTCTTTCTCTGGTCAAATTAAAACATAATAATAATAATAAACTAAGTTAAATAAAGTAATTTTAAAAATAGATGGTGGGAACCAGCAGTTAGCATAATGGCTATGTCGCTGGACTCCCACGTAGTCGACCGCGGTTTGAGTCCCTGACCCGGCGGCTTAAAACTCACGCCGGGCGCGGGTGCGTGTGTGCCCAAGATCCCGAGAAGAGAATGGAGGAGAAGGGATTGCGGTGTGACCATCCCCCCTGGGGGTGATTTCTCGCTTTCTGTCTCTATGTCTCTCTGTCTGTCTGGCGAACGCATGCGCCCTATAGCGAAAGACCTCTCCAAGAAAAAAAAATAGATGGGAACAATTTGCTGTAGGCTCTTCCATAGCTTTTTTTTAATGTTCTCTTTGCATTCTTTCCTAACTAGCTCCTTTTTAGCTTTGTTTTGAAAGGATATAAAAGTCATAATGGTAGCACCTCTGTCGTTTGCTTGCTCTGTAAACCTGGGAGAGTTACTACTTCTCCCTGAGACTCCACCTCCTCAGCTGGAAAATAGAACTGATGACATCATCTCTGCATTCCCACGTGCTGACACTTACTGGAACTGCATAGCGGCTGCCTTGGTAGACAAGGCACATGCTTTTCATTTTTGTCAGTCCCACCAGGCCTTTTACCTCATTGCCATTCCCTGCTGGACCTGGGGTCTCTTGCATTTGAGACCCCTGTCTATAGTAAGAGTTCCAGCTCTGGGAGTCAAACACTTGAATCATGCTTCTATTTAATTTGTCCTCTCTGCCTCAGTTCTTTATAGAAAAAACGTGGAAAATAATAGTTTATGCCTCATAGGTTTATAGTGAGAATTAAATGACTTGATGCCTGTAAAACACACAGGATAGTGGGGGACACATCATAAGTGCTTAGTAAATACTGGCTCTTATTTTTAGACAACCATGCTACTTGTAGGATGTCTAACTCTGAAATGAGGGAATGTTCTGTACCAGCTAATACAGTGCCTACTACATTAGTAAATGGTTGTCATTATTAATACAAATGTTGAAGATTTATTTATAGCAGTAACAGGAATACGATTGTAGTAGGTATATCCAGGGTTTAGAAGAGCTAAGTTCAGATTTTGATTCTTCTTGGAAGAATAAGGACAACCCTCAAAGTTGGGTGGTTTGTATGATCTTTCTAAGCTTCAGTTTTCTTATCTTCAAAATGGAGATGGTTATGATGATCAAATAATTAAATATGTATATAAAATACCCAGTGTGTAGTAAGTACTCAGTTACCGTTCATTCTCCCACCCCCTCAGTTTTGACTTGTAAGGCCAGTGTTTGCTAAAGAACAGACTTTTATGAATGTAGATATCTGCATAAGATTCGAATTCTCTTACAATGAAAATTCATTAATAACTGTAAGATGTTTGATAAAAGCCTTCCACTGCTTGATTTGTTTATGGAAGTTTAAATAGAGGATAGAACGCATAGATAGTATTAGGGAAGGAAAGAACATACAAAGTCTTTTTTATAACAATTATTTTTATTTCCTCAGGGAACTCTTGCAGCAGACAAAAATGAGATTTTGTTTTCTGAATTCAACATCAACTACAATAATGAGCCCCCGATGTACAGGAAAGGGACCGTGTTGCTCTGGCAGAAGGTAATGTGGTTAGAGTCAAGACCAATGGAGGTTGGGGAAAAGCCTGAACCCATCCCGTTTTGTCCTGCTTGCTACTTGTATGTGGGTGTGCCTCCAATAATGAACACAAACTAGATCACTTCCAAAAAAGAGGTGCTGTAGATTATTACTAGTTTATTTATCTTTTTAAGAGAGTGTTTGCTATAGGGCATGTGTGCTTGCCAGAGAGACAGACAGAAAGCAAGAAATCACCCCCTGGGGGGATGGCCACACCACAATCCCTTCTCCATTCTCCCCTCTGTATTGTTGGCATATATGCACACATGCCTATGTGAGTTTTAAGCCCCCAAGTCTGGGGCTTGAACTGTGGTCGACTCTGAGAGTCCAGCAGTATAACCATTTCGCCATTTGCTGGTCCCATAGATTATTTTTTATTTTTTGGAGAGGTTTTTGCTATAGGGCGCGTGCGCTCGCCAGACAGAGAGAGACAGAGAGATAGAAGGCAAGAAATCACGCCCCCCCAGAGGGGATGGCCACGCCGCAATCCTTTCTCCATTGTCCTCTCGGGATCTTGGGCATGCACACCCACACGCCCGGTGTGAGTTTAAGCCACCGGGTCCAGAACTCGAACCGCGGTCGACTATGTGGGAGTCCAGCGACGTAGCCATTACGCTAACTGCTGGTCCCCGCGTAGATTATTCTTTTTGATAATCATGTATCTACTCTACACTATCAGAATCTCTCATATGCAAGGGGACTCACAGACCAGTAAGCCATGATGCCAGCCCTCAAAAGGTCTTTTTTTTTTTTTTTCTAAATGTTTCCAAATACTAAAGGGTACCATAAGAGATAGTCATCCCACTGGTAACTTCAGATCTTTTATTTGTATCTTCAAAACACAATGGTTTCAGACCAGCAATTGGTGTAATGGCCATGTCACTGAACTCCCATGTAGTCAACCTCGATTTGAGTCCCAGATCCAGTGGCTTAAACTCACACCAAGCACATGTGCATGCGTGCCCAAGATCCCGAGAGAATGGAGAAGGGATTGTGGCATAGCCATTCCCCCTGGGGGGGTGATTTCTTGTTTTCTGTCTCTCTTTCTCTGTCTTTCTGGCAATCGCACGCGCCCTGTAAGCAAAAACCTCTCAAAAAAACACACACACGATGGTTTTTTGGCACAGACTTGAATACTTAACATAGATTGGAGAGAAGATTGTATATATGTATATGTTAATTTTGCCATAGGACACGTGTGCTCACCAAGGAGAGGGAGAAACTATCCCCCATGGAGAGTGGTCATGCCCTGACCCCTTGTCCTCCATCTCTCCCTCCTTTTGGGAATTTGCGCACAGACACACACATTCCCTGCATGTTTTCCAGCCACTAGGTTTGAAACCTGAACTATAGAGTTGAACTGGTGGAATCTTGCTGCCTCAACCACAAGGCCATGGAGCCAGCCTGAAATAACCTTTAATTCTCTAGTTACTGGTAATGAGGAGCCAATGAAATCCCTTCTTTGTTCCTAAGATCTCTTTTCAGAATTTAGTAATATAACCTTTGTGAAAGATCCGTGTTGGCCTTGTCGGTCCCACCAGGCCTTTTCCTTCATCGCCATTCCCTGCTGGGCATCTGGGGTATAAAAGGTAAAAAAGTGAACTTCCCTCAGATGTTCCCCTTCTCTTTCAAACACACACTCAAGTTAACATTGTCAACTTTCACCTGTAGGTGGATGAAGTCACGACAAAAGAAGTTAAGCTGCCAGTAGAGATGGAAGGAAAAAAGATGGCAGTGACTCGGACCCGGACTAAGCCAGTGCCCTTACACTGCGATATCATTGGGGATGCTTTCTGGAAGGAACATCCAGAGATCCTAGATGAGGACAGCTGACCCCTTGCTCTTCAATCCGAGTGTGATTAACCGTGCCGCCTCCTGCCCCCAAGTCTCCCTGCTTTAGGTGGCCTAGCCGCCCTCCCACCCAGAAAGCTGTGCCAAGAGTGACACGACTCAAGTTGGGAGGGGAGCAGGGAAGGAAGAGATGGATGGGGGCGGTGTATCTTGTTCTGCTTAAACAGAACACCTTTTTTTTTTACAGTGTTGGAACATGATTCCTTCAGTAGAAGTACATTTTTTCCAAATTCGTGATACTATTTTTATAAAGCAAGAACTATTTCATGCTTTGCAGAATGAATCACTTTTAAATTGTGACATAAGTCATAAAAACCTGTCAGCTCTTTTTACCTCTGACTGAAGAGGAGGCCAAACTTTACTCTCACCCACCTGTTCTAAACTAAGACGCCCTGACATTGAACATTGTAACTCTGCCACCCGTCACCTTACCTTCATCTTTGGCAGACCTAAAGCTTCATATTCAAAGGCATGATGCCACTGAATTCAGGAATTCTAGGGAAAACTCAGGCCATTGTGCCTTTTCTCCAAGTTGCCAACTTTGGCTGAACAAATGAGTAGTGGTTTTGATGTCCTTGAGTACACGTTCCATGGCTTGACTCCTTGGGGCTGTCAGCATGGTCGTCATCTTGCCAGGGGCCTCATTTCCAGGGTGACTTACCTCTTTCTAAGAAAAAAGAACTGTACATATGTGTCTATATTGATATAGTTATAAATAGCTATATTATATATATATATATATATATATGACAAAGAAAGTATGTGAAATGAATGAATAAAGATGGGAGAAACATTCCACGTCCTGTAGATACTTTAGTTTTAAAAGTTACTTTTCTCTGGGACATCCTGAAAAAGATTCTCAAGTAACCTCCAGAAGTCATAAAAATATCAGAACAGTGACATTTGAATTCAGGAATAGAGGGGTCAGTATGATTTTGGGGATCACAAGTAGCATGTGTTAGAGAAGTCAAACCAGCTCCACCTGCTGATGGGTCAGGGAGATACTGCTGAGGAGCAGCAGAGAGGTGTGTGCGTGTTCCAAGCTGTTGGTCCAAAGGTAGTGGGGACAGGTGACGAGAGAACTCGCATTCCCTTTTGTCCTCATTTCATATTTAAGAGGGAAAAGATTATTTAGTTCTATTAAGAATTAATTTTGAGACAGCCCACACCCCAGTGCCTAGTCCTGCATTGCAGAATATACAGCCAAGAAGGAAATGTATTTTTGAAAGGGTGACGGCTGGCCTCATCCTTCACTAACTGACACCCCATCTGTTGATGCCATTATTTTCCTTCCTGTTTCCCCCACTCCCCAGGAATAGGAGTTACAGCTCGTGCTCAGTAATTGCTAAAAATCTCTCTGCGAAAAATAAATTAATAAAGGTTTCAACTTCCACAGCCTGCTTCTTCATTTTTCTTACATAAATACAATATATGAATCTTAACTTTTCTGTCTTTGGGTAAGCCAGAGTAGACATACCTTTATAGCAGTAGTTCATAGACTTAGGGGTGGGAAAAAGAAATTTCTTTGGGATGCTTGCTTAAAATTTCAACTTCATCCCCTCTCCTCCAATAAGGATTTGGGGCTCCACAACCTGATTTTTAACTCTGAAGATTTTTGATGCCTTTGGTTGTCGACAAAGAGAAGTAGGCATTAAAATACACATTTTCAAAACAAAATCAGAAATCTGTGTGTCATGTAACTATAAAGGCTATCACTACATTTTGTCCTGAGATACGGAGTCAAACCATTTGTTGAATTGATAGTTCTGCAGTTTTGAGTTCTTGCCGTTGCTAGGCAGAGGATTTTGAACAAAGTAAACTAGGTTTAAAACCCATGCTGTGGGGGCCAGCAGGTGGTGTGGTGATTAGGAGCGCTGGACTCCCACATGGCCGACTATGGTTTGAGTCCCAGACCTGGCAGCTTCAAAATCATACCAGGTGCATGTGCATGCATTCCCAAAATCCTAAGAGGAAAATGGAAGAGAAGGGTTTTCAGCATGGGTGTGTGTGGGGGGGGTATTTCTCACCTTCTGTCTCTCCAGCAAGCACACATGCCATACAGAGGAAATATCTCTTAAAAATAAGTAAATAAAAATATCTTTCCCTGGCTCTCTCACTCTGTCCCTCTCTGGTCAAATAAAACAGAAGCCATTACTTGGCTTTTATTCTGCCTTTGTTGGAGATGTATCCATTCCAACATATTTCACAGTGGCACATCAATTTTCATCCTGCTCTCTAAGGTACTGTATAGTACTGTCTTGAGCCTCCTTTCCAGATACTTAGGAAACTGTACACAAATGCAACTAGTGTAGAGCTATTAAGTTAGTTTGAGAGAGTGGTGGCAGCTAGCTAGGAAAAAAATTTGTGTGGCCTGTAGTACCTATAGATGGCTCTGCTGAATGAAGAGGTATTAATTATATCTGGCATTCAGTCTACAGTAGACTCAGTATTAACCGAACTATGTTTTGCTAAACCGAAGGCTTAAAGTAATATGGTGGAGGCCCACCCATGGTGGTGGTTAAGGGGCTGGATCCTTCAATTTGAGTCCAGGATGCAGTGGCTTGAAAAACAGGTGATGTGAAAATCACTGCCCAAAATCCAAAAATGAGGGTTCAGAAGGTTTTGCAGTGAGGCCATCCCTTCTGGAGGGTGATTTTTCACTTTCCCTTTCTTTCTCACATGCCCTGTTGCAAATTAGGGGGAAAAAAGTGGGGTACAATCAAGTTTTGTGAATCCTATGCTGTCCAATACCTGGATCCTCATACCCTTCCGTTGTTAGGAATGCTTAGAAAATTCCTGATGGAATAAATTTTCTTTGATACTAAAGTCTCCATTTTTAGTGTAAATTTCTTTGTGTAGAGTATAAGAAATGGAGGGCTCGGATCCACCCAGCCTTCAGGGTTCCATTGTAAAATTAACCAATATTGGCTAAAGTGTGCATTAATTATGTGCTACATGTGCAATATCATCAAATCCTTTGGACAATTCTGTGGAATTCTATTTCATATTTCCGGTGAGATAGTAAGGATCAAGGAGGCTGAATAACGAGTCCTGGTAGCTAACCCCGCCATCCCCTCCGCCCTGCCTGCCAGCTCGAGCTGGGACTTTGTAGTTTGCAGTTCCAGAGAGCAGAGAAACGCCTGCGGTGCTAAATGCACCTCAGGATAGGGAAACACCGCATTAGAGCAGGTTCAGCGTCAGTCGACAGCGTCTGTCACCTGCGCGCGGAGGCAGCGCGAGGCCTGAGCGGGTCGGGGCCGCGCGCCACGCCCCCAGGCAAGGGCAGAGCGCGGGCAGATGCTGCCCCCCGGCGGCCGCGCCGACGCAGTGCG